CCGCCTGCCAAGCGTGTGTACTAAGCCAGCATGCACAGATTTCGGAGAGCCAAATGTCTGTCCGCACAGAGAAGAGAAGTGCAAGATGCAGCACGTAGCGAGCATACGCCAACATTTTCTAAAAGTTCCCTCGATTGCACAGCATCTTGGAAAACAAGCCAAACTGCAGCGTCTTGTTTGTAGGTAGGCCCACGACGATTTGGCAGCTTGTGCAGGTTACGTGCAAGTGACTGGAGGTGTTGTGCATTCGTTTGGCCTACAGCGGTAGGCTTTTGGTGCACGGAGCCGCACCTTCGAACCCACCATGGCCGAGGCGGCAAAGGCAAAGGGGAAGAAGTTCGTCAAGAAGACCAAGCAGCCAGTGCGCCTGTATGCCAAGGGCTTGATCCTGGGCTACAAGCGCAGCAAATCCAACTGCTATGCCAATTGCACGCTGCTGAAGATTGATGGAGTGCGTACCAAGGAGGACACACAGTTCTACATTGGGAAGAGGGTCGCCTATGTGTACAAGACCAAGAAGGAGGTGAAGCACTCCAAGTTCCGAGTGATGTGGGGTAAGGTCCGCCGCTCCCACGGTAATTCCGGCGTTGTGAGAGCCAAGTTTGTCAAGAACATTCCGCCCAAGGCCTTCGGAGCCCCATGTCGAGTGATGCTTTACCCCAGCAGTATCTGAGCTTGCTAGTGAGGCGATGTGGTGCGTTCGTACTCAGTGCAGACCCGTGAGAAAAAGCTGAGCTAGCCTACGCGAACATGAGGGTGTGGTGCGGTGCTTAACACAAAATCAGTTCTGGACAGGGTCATTTTGTGTCAACAGAAGGATTCGCCTCAATTGGTTTGCACGTTGTTCGGAGATATATTGCATGTTACCTCGAAGGTTGGCTCAGCTGGGAGGCCGAAAGCGGGACTAGTCAAGCTCAAGCCATGGCCGAGGCGGCAAAGGCAAAGGGGAAGAAGTTCGTCAAGAAGACCAAGCAGCCAGTGCGCCTGTATGCCAAGGGCTTGATCCTGGGCTACAAGCGCAGCAAATCCAACTGCTATGCCAATTGCACGCTGCTGAAGATTGATGGAGTGCGTACCAAGGAGGACACACAGTTCTACATTGGGAAGAGGGTCGCCTATGTGTACAAGACCAAGAAGGAGGTGAAGCACTCCAAGTTCCGAGTGATGTGGGGTAAGGTCCGCCGCTCCCACGGTAATTCCGGCGTTGTGAGGGCCAAGTTTGTCAAGAACATTCCGCCCAAGGCCTTCGGAGCCCCATGTCGAGTGATGCTTTACCCCAGCAGTATCTGAGCTTGCTATCCATTGTAGATGCGACACTTCAAGCCGACCTTCCCTGTGAGCATAACGAGAAATATGGTCGGCTGCGCTTGCATGCAGTTTCGGGTTCTGTCCGTATGGCTGAACGTCTAGCAACGCGTGCACGACCCTTTTCTTTACAGCCCTTTGGCTTCAAGCTCCTGCTGCGGATGCTTCCACGGCTGGGGCTCGGGGAAAGCGAGAGGGCTTGTGGCACTGCAACGGGGATGCCCTCCACCGCGAAGCATAGCCAGGGCGAAAGGACAGAGACTAGAAGATTTGCAGGTAACAAGTAACAACCATCGATCGGGGAGACGGAGATGGTCAGTTGCGACAGTTCACAGTTTGCTGGGCGGGTCACGTGCGTGTCCTTGGACTGGGCTTCACCGATGGCAGACAAAGGACCGGGGCCTTTTTACTTCGTCTGTGGCAGGAATGTTTCGCGAACCCGATTTCCGGAACACATAGCACATGCAGTACATGTGCTGAAGCACTCCTCAATTTGTGTTCTTTGGTGGGAAGCTGCACGGAGTACAAGACCCATGCCCGTCTCATGGGCATCTTCACTGTCTAGGGCAAGTCTAGACCTATAGAGTGTGAACTGCACAGCGCAGCAGTCATGGGCATGTCAGGACACCTCGATGAAGCAAGCGATGACTCAGCCAAGGCAAGTCAGTGTTCATGGGCAAGTGCTGCTCCGATTACTTCCTTAGCATTCACGCTCCATCTTCACTGTCAAGATTCAACCGAATGTAGCGGAACTTGTAGGTGGGGTCCTTAGACAATCTCTGCACTGACTGCTGGAGTGGCTCCGCCTGAACCCACAAGCTTCGTGGTCCAAGCGGTTGGTGACAAAAACTTGCCTTGGGGAGCCGCCAGCGGCGGGTAATAAGTGCCCTGCAATGCATCTGGGGTCTGTGCTAGCAAGTTTTGATGCTGAAGAGGATCAACTGCTCTTTGGCCTAAATTCTGGATGTCCATCGTGCCCATCGTTGCCCGGTCTGTCTCTGACTTCGGTGCTCCGCAGTTTTATCCGTTCCTGGTTACGCATGTCGCGCGTGCACTTTCTGCTGTCTTCTGACCACAATGAAGCAACAAAAACTCGCCTGCTGCCTTGCTTTGCTGGCTGGCTTTGGTCGACTGTGGTAGACACGGGATGCTGTTGCGGCGTTCCGCTCAATTGTGTAAGCTTGGTGCTAAAGCACCTCCGAGAACCTGTGGTCTCCTCCCAAGTCGCGCCGCATAAAGTACGAGTGCACACGTCTTTCGAAACAGCGGCGCAGTCAAAAGTCAACAGAGAGGTGACGGAGGGATGCAAACATGTAAGTACTGTCGTCTGTAGCGCATATCGTTGGAAAGGATTTTTTGCCTTAGTCCAGCTTCGAGGGCCCCCGAAAAGGGTCGGTAATAGTCAGCACCTTCCTCTTTGTAAGTTTTTCTTCTGTGATTAATGTTGTGTTTCATTGCCACCGATCTCGCTTGTGTGTTTCTTAATTCTTTCACTTTTGTTGTACACACCATGCACATTTCGCATCCCAGAGAGAGATGGCATGAAGTTCATTATGTGTTTGGCAGTCCCCGAAACTCGATGTTCAGGAAAACCAGCTGCCGGTGAAGAATACCTTCATCCACTTCGCGAGTCCTGTCAGGAGCATTTTGCACCGTGCCTGCAGTTCATGGCTGTAGGAAAGCCAGCAGCATGTTCCGAGACATGTCATGAGCATTAGAGCTGGATGCAAAGATGATGCAATGAAATATTCTGAAAAATGGGTAGGCCGGGTAGGCCTTTGTTGCAGGCACAATCATGTTCATGTTGCCTGATGCAAGAAGGCACTTGCAATCTGTGTATTCATAGATATGGTCGAGCGCACAGGCAGAGAATCAGTCTCTCGGAGATCCAATTTCCTGCAGCAGTGGACTCATGATGGACTTGCCAGGACGCCACATACTCAAGCCACGCCGAAGACGGTACCGCCACATTTCGCCCCGGAGGTGCCCCTGCCTAGAACTTTGCTGTAGACCGGCCGTGTTTACAGAAGCATCGGTTGTTGCACGAGGAGGTAGGCGCTGACGAAGCTGGCTCTTCGGAGCCTGGGTCGGGGCCGCAGCTGGAGTACGGTGGAAGTCAGGCAGATTTGGGCTCCACATGAGACCATGCCGTAGCCGGTGTCGATTCTCGAATGATGGAGCTTCCCCAACCCCGATGCTGCCTCAGGATCGCTCCACTTCGCCTCTTCGATTTCTTGCCGTCTCCACAGGTCGGAAGAATGCCAGTTTCGTTGCCGGCATTGACGGATGGTGTTCTGCAATTTGATCCTGGAAGTCAGGCGAGTACAGGCGTCATGTTCTCAACCAATATCACAGGCCCAGAACTTGCAGCCATTGCGCCCAACGCAGCCTCGCGCCCCGCCTCAACTCCAGGCCACTTAGAGTAGTGTGCGGCAGTGCGTAAGAGCCAGTTTGACCGTTTGAACGTTTGTTGCTTCCATTGTCAGGCGGAAGCAATCACAGCCATGGCGGCTTTCCATGCGGTTCATGCTACTTCGGCAGCATAGAAGGAACATCAGTTTGAGTCATTTTTTGATAGAGGTGAATGCTTCCGTCTCACGAGAACTGAGAGCACATCATGTCCGAGGCGATAATGTCTTCTATGCCGCCGCTGCCGCAGCTGAGTTCTGGAGGGGCCCCTGCGTTCCAGACACAGGCTCGGGGCTGCGGAATGACCCAGGAACCGAGCCTCTGGTGGAGATTAGAGAGGGCATGTCGTCTCGCCATTCAGGGCCCTTCCTGCGAGCTTTGGCCTCCGGAGCCCTGCGCCATGCCGCCACGTGGTCAGCATTTTGAGATCCTTCGCCATCCTTCTTCACATGTGGTTGTGGAGAATTGCTTTGAGATCGCATGCATGTGGCACTCGCAGTCCGGTGGTTGAATCGGCCATCACTGCAAGGTTCGATGGTCCTCAGTCGGAACCTCAAGAATAGAAGGGTGTGCAGCTTGCAGCTATGAGACTTCTGGCATGCCCTGCAAATGTAATTAGCTCTTATGCCTCTACTGGTAGCTTTGGCACGACGAGAGAAGTCACCTGCAGGCCGGAAAATTCCATGATGTACACAGATGGAGGCGGTTCGCTCGGTGGGGCTTCCCAGGTCGCTGTTGAGCGTTCCCTGGTATGCACATGTCATGTCCTGAGCAAGGAAAACATAGCCTAGCATATCCTAGCAGGTCCTAGCATACTAGCATAGCCGGTGAATGTCGTCTTGTCTTGCCCGCTGCCATCGGAGGATTTCAAGGAGAGGGATTCTCGGAGTGGTGGCCTTGGCCGCAAGATGCTGGCAAGGGCCTCAGGCCCCAGGGGAGAGCTACCCGAAGGTTGCTGCTATGCCCGAGGCCCAAGGCCACTTGCTTTTCACTCGGTTTTGTCCCTGTTGGACGTCTATCATGTTGACATAGTGAAAGATCAGGCTGAGGGAATACCCGCCTTCTTGCAGCTTCAGTATTGGGACTATTGAGCAAGTGTGAATTATCTTGCCGGCTGCATGCTCGTGGAAGCTGTCGCAATGTGAGTCGGCAGAGGTATGCCAAACACAGATGCATTTCAGCCGCCAGTTCGGGGCCAAGAAGTATCGGCCCTTCCAGGGAGGAATGGTGTGGAGACTTGACGCGTGTCTCCAGTCATGTTTGAAGATGCAAGAAAGCTTTTTGCACAAGGTTGACCCTTCGAGCTGGGACGGTCACAGGGAAGTGTACCGCGAGGTGCCTGCGTGCGGTGCCTCCTGCATGCACTGAGACCCCTCAAGATCCAGACGGGCGTGCGAGTGCTGCGGTCAAATCTTGCTGAGAACAGACCGTGACTCTGGAGGCTTGATGTCGAGATGTCCGTTTCACGAGACCACGCAGGCAAGGCTCACACATGTCTGAGCCAGGGCCTTGCAAGGTCTGGATGCTTTGGGCGGGGAAGAAGGGGACCCGGAGCTACTGCGGGGCGCAGGCCAAAAAGGTGGACGTGTTTCAAGTGTCTCTGCATCGGTTCAGGGTGAAGAGCTTTAGGCTTTAGAGTACTCTAGATCGCAAGCTGCCCGTGCTTGTACCTGTATGTGACCGGACTTGGACCTGGAGATGCCACATGTTGCGACTCCAAGGTTTGGTTGTCCTTGTTCGTGGAGTTGCCTTGTCTGCAGCATTTGGCCGTATGACATCCTATAATCCTATAACGGGTCACCGCATGTGGTAGAAGCCGGGACATATATACCATGTGATCTTGAAGTGGCACACACAGACATACACGTGCACGCACACCGGCAAGCTGTGAGGATCTACGCCTCATCCCTCGAAGGCAAGCTTGTTGCCGACTGTTTTAAGAGCAGACAATCCAGAATCCAAGCAGCAGCGTGGTCTTCTTTCCCGAAATGGGCCTTGGACGTGGAGACCCCCAAGAAGATCCGGGGCATGCCATCTCTTGGGGTATAGCAGGGCACCTGGAAAGGTCACAGCATGAGAGGAGCCGGTGCGTAGAAGCTATGAGAGTTTGGGGAGACTGAGGTCACGGCGAGCAGCTTGCGCGGCCCTTGCACTACCCAGGAGCATCGCCTATATGCTCTTCTTGCTTGCAGTGGGATGTCGTCGACAGGATGAGAGATTTCGGCATTCTGGGGTTGCGGGGTTGCCAGCAGCGACCTAGCACTCTACGACAGCCTAGAGGATTCCTGGGCCCAGGCCCAGGCCCAACTGAGAGAACGTCTTGTGATGGGCGGGGGGCGGTCGAGCGAAATGCAAAAAGTTGGGGATCAAGCCTTGTGGGCATGTGCCAGCGCAACAGAACATGCATGGTCTGCAGCCTGAGAGAGACAGCCTCGAAATCGCCAGGAGGTCTTCGAAGCCTCACAGGCGCCGACTGGAAGCAGGGTTTCCTGATGTTTCCTGGTCTGACCCAACGTGCCGCAGGCTGGAAGGACGGAGGCCGCCCGCGAGGTGGCTCGAAGACGTTTTGGCGAGACCGCGGGGGGCCCGTCCGTTGCCGATTCGAAGGACAGGACCTTTTTGGAGAAAACCGACTGAGGAGAAGCAGCGCGGAGAGCGCGAGGTCCACGAAGGCCTCTGCGGCGGCACCTGACTGCTCGTATGGCACCGCCGCGCACCGCATCTGAAGGCCAGGCTTTCTTCGCAAGCTGCGGCGTGGAGCAGTTACGGCCTTCTTCGAGGCCTTGTTCCTGCACTGTCCACGACAATGCCCGACAGAGTCTGGCCAGGTTTGGGCAGACTGGCGGAGGCAGTGGCTGGTATTAAGCGGCTGCAGGGGCGGTCCGGGTCAGGGAGTGGCTGAGTGGACGGCTCGGATGGGCATGATGTCTTCTTTGTGTGGCAAGGCTCACGCCCGTACGGCGTGGTTTCGCAGCGTCCCCGCACTACGCCTTCACGCCCCTCAGACTGATGCGAGACAAATCTGTGACATTCGATGTTGTTTCTTGAGTGAAGGTTGAGCTGCTGGATTGCCCTATTTCGGCTGTTATGTCCATAGCTGCCGTAGCTAGACTTTAGACCGAGAGATGGAGACACACGAAAAGCTGGATGCCGAAGCCTATGTCGGGGAGAACAGGCAAAGGTTGCCAAGAACTGGGCATACTGAACGTCATCTCCATCTCCTTTGAAGTGGCAATGATAAACGGAAAGCGGGCGCAGCTCAAAGCAAATCTGGACACTTCCATGGAGAAGCTAAGGCGGAAGGCACAGCGGTTGCTCTGCGTTAGTCGAGCGTGTTTGTTGAACAGCTCTGGAGAAGTTCTGCAGGGAGGAATGAGTATCAGTGAAGCAGGTTTGCAGCCAGGGGGTGTGTTAACCCTGCTAACCCGAGAAGTCTGTCTCGCAGCATCAGAACGCGCCTTTGCAGCAGTGCTGGGCGATGGTTCAGTCGCAGCATGGGGAAGTGCTCTGCATGGGGGCGACTGCAGTGCGGTCCAGCAGCAGTTGCAGAACGTGCGCACCATTCAATCCAGTCATGAGTCCTTTGCTGCCATCCTGCAGAGTGGTTCCGTCGTGACTTGGGGTCACCCCCGGTATGGTGGTGACAGCAGTGCAGTGAAAGACAGTCTCAAAGATGTTCGGCACATCCAGGCCACCCACGGGGCCTTCGCTGCCATACTTGGAGACGGGTCAGTCATCACGTGGGGCGACCCCCAGTATGGCGGTAACAGCGATGCTGTGAGAGGGCAGCTCGATGCGGCATCGCCTGTGAAAGAACTTCAAGCTTCCAGCTCTGCTTTTGCTGCGATCATGTGCGATGGCTCTGTCGTGACCTGGGGCGATCCGGTTTACGGGGGCAGCAGCTCTGCTGTGCAAAGCAAGCTTAGGAAGGTGGAAAGTATTCGATCCTCTGGGGCAGCTTTTGCTGCCGTGACTTCGGATGGATGTGTTGTGACTTGGGGCCACCCATCTTACGGTGGCGACAGCTGGCACGTGCAAGATAAGTTCAAGAATGTGCAGAAGGTCCAAGCTACAGGCTCTGCATTTGCAGCTGTCCTGTCTGATGGGTCCGTAGTGACTTGGGGCCATTCGGCATCAGGTGGCTGTAGCAGCCATGTGCAAGATCAGCTTGTAAATGTCCAGCAGATCCAGGCCGCACAGGAGTCCTTCGCTGCTTTGCTGGCTGATGGCTCTGTCGTGACATGGGGGCACCCTGCAAATGGAGGCGACAGCTCCGCCGTGAATCTGAGAGACGTGAAGCAGATCTCTGCTTCCAGCTCCGCTTTCGCTGCTCTGCGCGCCGATGGCTCGGTGGTGACCTGGGGCTGCCCGCTCTGTGGTGGTGACAGCAGCAGAGTCCAACAGCAGCTCCAAAAGGTCAGGCAGCTCCAGGCCAGTGGCGCGGCCTTTGCGGCTCTTTGTGACGACGGAGCCGTGGTGACTTGGGGTGCAACACATGCGGGCGGGGACAGCAGTGCAGTCCGAGAGCGACTAAAAGCAGGGGTCTCAAAGATCCAGTCCAGCAGAGGGGCGTTTGCTGCCGTGCTCAAAGATGGCCAGGTCGTAACTTGGGGGAGCTCAAACTCTGGTGGTGACAATGCCCCTCGCAAGCCGAAGCTGGTCAGTCGGAGGAGGAGAGTGCGCCGAGCGTGCGGTGCATGATAGCCAATGATTGCCTAATAATCATTCTTATTCGTGCTCCTGAACAGTCGAGCGCAAATTCGATAGTTTTAAAATGTTTTAACCTCTACAGTACTAGTGGGTTACTATGTTCCTGTCAGGTTCGCTGGCATTTTGAGTGCCCGCTTCGTGCTAGTGGCTCATGTCTCACTTGCCCAACGAAGGCTTTTCTCACTGGCAAAGTCTACAGTCCAGTGGTTCCGGTTCCTGCGCAAGAGTCGCACGCGTGCATCGCACCTGTTCCCAGCGGTTCCCATCGCAAAACGACCAACAACAGCTGCAAAGTCTGAATATGACTATCATGCGCAGAGAACTCAATTAACGGTAGGGCCTGCGCATGGTGAGGGGGCGCTATCAGGTGATTTGGAGCTCTGCAGCACGGAGCTCAGGTTTTTTTGGAAGCAGGGGGTCAGCTGATGTGAGTTGGTGACGGATGATGTAGGCAGGAACGGTTCCTTCCCCAGAAGTTCACAGCTACAGACACGGTGATCAATCTGCATATTTAGATACTGTGCTGCTGGTCCCCTTCAAGCGCTTTCCCCTTTCCCAAGCACAGATCGACTCACTGTTGAGGCCCGTCTTCTTCGCGAACCCACCTGCGGTACTCCAACCCTTGCCTCAGCAGGGTAATGGACCAAGACCGCCAGCAGAACGGAGGATTTTTCACAGGGTCGGGTACTCGGCTTCTCGGCATGGCACGTGACGGCTTTCGTGTGTCTGAACCAGTCTGAAAAGCCATAAGCCAGACCATAAGTGCGTGCCTTGCTGCATCGCAGGAGCGTTCTGGCTGCTCGCAAAGTGACCAGCAGATGAAGCACGCGGTTTCAATCGCAGACAGCCGGGGAGCTAGCATGGGCGGGTGTTTACATGTTAGAGCTAAGCGGCCAGTCGGGACTCACCCGCAGAGATGTAACGTCTCTCCCTCTCTCTCGCCCTCCCTCCCACGCTGTGCATCTGTATCTCGGTATAGCGTACTCAAACCCTAAACCGTAAACACTAAACCCTAACTCAGCACTAGCCAAAGGCTGCTTCGCCAAGGCCTGTTCAAAATCACCATTGTGCAGAAAGGGCAGAGACAGAGAACTCAAATCTCGGATCTGTCTGTGGTGCTTCCGAGCTTCCGGCGACCGATCCTGCAGAAGCAACTGTAGACTTGCATAGATCGTCGCCGAAGGTGACGATAGATTACGGAGTGCATGTGCTCGTCGTTAGAAGTTGGATGTAGGGGGCCGATTCTTCGCAGGACACAAAGGCCGCGACGGAACTCTCACGAGCTGAGATTTCATTCGCATCTCACTCTGTGCTCTAGCACGTTACTTCAGGTATTCTTGCGCAAAGTCTTTGCGACAGATCATGTCCTTGTAAGGGTTTGGGCGGCTTGGGGTCCAGGCTGAGGCGTCATCTTGTCCGAGTTTCGGGGAACGAAAGTTGTTCAAGCACTGCAGCGGAGGCATTTCCGATCCGATTCGCAGCGAACCTGCTGCTGATCATCCACATCCGAGAGATAAAGTGAATCTAACTAGCAACTGGGCTCTGTTGGGAGCAGCAACATTCCTCTCCTTTGTAGAAGTCTTTTTCTTTACTGTACGACTTGGGAACATTACTGGCACCATGATACTGAGTCAGAATAAGCAGGATCAGAATGGGGAAAGCAAGTTGCGCCGCAATATTGAGAGCCGTTGTGAAGTGGTAGTTGTACTATTACCAGCAGTTGCAAGACTTATCATCGGCATTGTGAGAAAACGCACGTAGAGCTGCTATTGTTCACGTCGGTGCTGCCGCATGTTCGTCCCGAAACGTTCTCAAGCCCAAGCAGTGTACTGGGCTGAGCTTCGTACTTTCAGTGTACTCTTGTGAGTTTGAAAGAAGATTGATATGAGCCTTAGACAGAAAGACTGGCGAGGGCTGGACGATCCTAACATGCAAGCAAGTCAACAAGCTCCGTAGTGCCGGCAATGCAAGCCTACTGGATGTATGGAGGCAGTTCACGATGGAGAGGCTTTACAGGCCTCCAGGGTATTCGAGCACGACGCGCAAAGTGCAAGCGTTGTTTCGCTGACGCTTATCGGACATTTTTTCTTCATGGCTTGGCTTGGCAGGCTCTGGAGCTCCGCTGTCGGCAGCTCTGCACGTCAGCGGCGCAGCTTGAGGCTTCCCGCCCGCACGGCGGTTCTCTCGTCCAATTGCCAATTCTGCCTATCCTCCCCTGGTTGGAAGCTGTCCAAGGGCCGCCCAAGAGTACACCGTTTCCTGCTTGTGCTCTGTGTCTTTTTTTTTTCTCTCTCTCTCTCTCTCTCTCTCTTTCTGTCGGCCTGCCTTTCCCAGCATCTATAGTCCATGGGTGACCGAAGAACACTGTTTGATGTGGTGATGTTGTTGTGATTCAGCTGCCTGTGGAAATACTTCTTACGTATCTATGGACGGAGTTTCTGTATGCATTATTATCTGCAGTCCAATCTACCTAATTCACAGTGCAGCTATCCGTCTATCTGTCCATATATCATATTCACACAAAAAACCATCCTTCCATCTATCTGGCTATCCGTCCCTGCCTCTCAACACGTCCCTTTCTCGTCGGTCGTGCTTGCTGTTTCATCCCTTTATATAACTCTGTCACGTCTAGAGTCTAGTGTTTATTCCCATTGCATCTGCATGCACATATATCCTTGCCTGTAGGCATGCAAAGACATCAATTGCATGGATGCACATTCGTACACGCCGATGCGCGCACACACACACACATATACACCTCTTGGCATGTACTTGCATGTAGTGCATGCAGGCAGGAATAGATGCATGCCAACGTACGTGCATACATATACACATGCATACATACACAACCATGCACGCTCATTTTCGCTCATTTGGGGCACTGAGAGCCCATGTGGCATGCACCTGATTAGGTGACGGGCTGCCTCACTATCACTATGGCATGTGTGCTATATAGGGAGGGCATATACGATGGGAGAACAGAAATCTGCTCCTCTTGGGAAGCTCTGACTATGCCTGACTGTAGCCAGGAACCTCGGACCGAAAGCCCCAAGGAGCGAAGCTGAGGCCTACAAAATACCGGATATTCCTCGAGGGTATAATTTGAGGCCGTCCCTGCTGCTTACATGCCCTAGATTCCGAAGCACCTTCTTCGAGGTGATATGAGGACAGCAGTACAGCAGCGAGCTTGAGCCTTCTTCCTCATGGGGGCAGACAGACACACTGCAAGCTTTATGCCCCGCATGGCGGGGTCGAAAGGCCATGCCCTCCCGATCATGTAATTACCTTCGCACTCAGGGTCTTAAGAGCCATCTTCCACGTGGTAATGTTTCATGGAGGCAAGGCTCTTGACTGGCCCAGTACGACGCCGGTGAAGGCCTCTTGCTCCGCAATCGTTCGGACTGTCATCTTACCATACGTCCAGAAGCTGGTGATGCCACCTTCGGCACTGTCCTCGAAGCCTCCAGCACGGGGCGACGAATGGCAGCATCCCCAAGCGCATAATTCAGGTTCAAGCCCACATGGCTCCCACCCGCGTAGGAAACAAAAACGAGGCTTTGGCGCGGGCCGTGCGATCAACACGTCCAGCACGGACCATCTGCAATTCGGTATCCCCCAGGTCCCTGAGTGCATCACGGAGAAACTCGGAAGCCTCCTGGGCATTCAAACTCGTGCTAAAGCACGTCGACAGGCCCTTGTACTCCATCATGCTGTATTTCTGCGAAAGACGTTGATCAACTGTCTCCTGGCCATGGCTCATCTTGAGGTCTTGAAGAGGGCCTCCAATTTCACACCTATTTCGGCGACCATGGAATTTTTTTTCACTTACGCAGCTGCCGTGCATCACCTGACCTGCCGGTTTCCTTCGTGCATGCCCGAATGGCTTTCATAATCTCCTGGAAGCATGTGTTCATGTCGCAGGCTCATGGCGTGCCCATGGCGTCCCGTGCTGTTGGCCCACGCTGATGGTGAGTTTCATCCCGGACCCTCACAACCATGCACACATACATGAGCAGATGCGAGCAGACGAAAACAGGCACAAGCCTACATGCCGAAACATGTACCGAAATTCGCGCCCACACACACGCACACATGAATGCCTAATTGCTTGCACGCGTACACAGAACGTCTGTCCATCTCAATCTTGTCAGGCAGCCGAGGACTTCACAAGAGCTCTGCAACATGGTGGTGGACAAACAGGCTGCGCAAAAGAGCAAAAAAGAAGCGGTCGACAAGGGTGTCTGTCCGCGAAATTTCGGTTTCCGAATCACAAACTTGCATGAAGTCACAACGACCCTCGAAAGGTCATTCCCCGGATGTACATGCTGCACGCGGCTTCAACGGCAAGGCTCTGCTGCTTGCCGCGCTTACTGTCCCGAATGCAGAACTGGATTCAACCGGATGTGATTTGCCCTGGGAACGTCATGTCAGCTCATGCGTGCCTCTTCTTGTTGCGGGTCCGTGCGTATTCTGAGCAAGCTGCTTTTATTAGCCGTGCTACCTAGATTCGGCACATGTCATTACAGCACGAACACCTTCCTATGCCAAATACATAAGAGAGCTTTGCACAAGAAACTCTTTCGTGTTGGGTACGGAGGTCGATCAAGGGCTGCATTCAGAGGTGACTATATGCATGCTTGATCTTTGGAGCTTGCAGAAATCCGTGGGTCTGGAGCCAGACGAGAGCATGGCCAGTGCATGAAGTGCGTAGCTGCGCCGACTCAGAAGTCGCCTTCCTGCACCATGTGTAACATCCTCGGCTGCTGTGTTTTTGTAGTAACATCGGCCAACACGCACAGTGATCCTGAAAGTGCGAACGGGGGATGCATACGGTTTAGCTTCCAGCCCTCCAGTCTGCAGGAGAATGTGCTTCCACAAGGACTTGAGAGAACAAGCAGTACGTGGAAGGAGGCGGGGCGGAGCGCAGCCTCGTGGTTTCTCCATGCAGATCTCGAGACGTTTTCACTAGAGGCTGAGCATGGTTGTAGGCTGGTTGTTTGTCTGCGTCTGCAAGGTGCCACGAAGTAAGCGGCATCCGAGGATTCTTGCAGAGAGAGAAACGAGCAAGCTGATCAACCGGACGACCAACTCGAGGAATCTGGAAGGAACATGGTACCACGATGCAAAGAGCTCAGCAGAACGTATGGGCGGTCCCATCGCAGCCTCTGATGGGGCTTATTCACATAACACCCTGTTTGTGGAAGCCGCAACACTGCAAGAACCGTCAGCCCACAACAGTCGGACACAGATCGCGCAGAGAACTGAAGAGCCAGTGGTTGCTGCGCTCTCGGGTCGCCCGGAGGCGTCTCCGAAACAGCAAGATGCACTGCAGGCAGCTCTGAGTAAGGAGTGCCAGTTGCTGCATGACATCGAGCAGTCGCGCTTCCAAATCCAAAGTCGAGCAGACGACCATCGCGATGCGCTGGCTCTGCTTTCTCAGGAGGAGGCCAGGCTGTTAAGGGTCTTGCCGGAGCAGGAGAAAGAGCTCGCGGCAGCCCAGTCTGAGCACGCAAAGCTCCGATCAGCGCTGGAGGCAGAGGAGGCTCAGTGTGCCAAACTGTCCGGACGCCTGCAACTGAAAGCCCAAATGGCCAGTCAACTGCGACGCCTTTCCCAACGACCCGAGCCACAGCCGGACCTCACAACAAAGTCCCGCTTCGATGCAGCAGCGTGTGAGTCCGAGATCATACACCTTCTTGGTCAGTCTTTGAAGGGTCTGGATGCTTCAGCAGATGTTCCCGATGATCTGGGATCTTTGTGCGTCAGCCTTCGTCAGTCTGCCGGCCGCTTCAGGGCAGAGTCTGCAGCTTGGCTGGGGCAGGTCCGGCAGCAGCTGGGTCTTTCTGCAGAGCCTGAGAACAGAAGTGCGCAGACCTTGATCCTTACTCTGGTCGAGACCTTGAAGAGCCACCTGAACACGAGCGGGCTTCAGGACACTGCACCGGCTGGTGAGAGAAGCCCAGATTCGGCCATGCAGTCGAAGCCTCGCTTGCAGGGGCCCTTAGCTGCTGACGGAGTGGCTACAGCATCAGCGCACGAGGGGCCGACGATGACCTTCACGGAGTCAGCCAGGGATCCAGACGGATCTGCGAAGCTTGGAAACATGGCGGACCAGACGGTGCTTCTGCTGCGGCAACAGGAGCAAGAGCTGACTGCTTGCTTGGACAAGCTACGAGGAGGACCGATCGAACTAGCTTTCGCCACGGCCTGGAGAGATTTGCGGGTTCAGTGCCAGGACGTGATGCCCTGCACCAAGCACCGTTGCCACAAGACTGGCCCTCGGAAGCCACGTGGCCCGGGCATGGGAAGATCAAAACCTTCAGATTGCCGAGACACCCAGTAAATGCATAGGTGCTTGAAGAATCAGGAGCCTTAGCACTATGAAATACTACAAGTTGTACCATGTTGAACCTCAAGTCCATCCAGGTACCCCGAGAGTTTGACTTCTTCGCCAAACCAGGAGCAAGGCCCCCAGCGTGCTTGTGCTCGGTTTGACTTTGTGTGACAGGGTGGGTAGCTGTATGGTCAGAGCATGACTGGTACTGGTAGCGGAGGGCAACAGAGCAGGACCCAAAAGTTTGCGGAATTATTGGCAGAACGGGCTCACACAGACACAGACAGCTCGTTTCTGATACCATGCTACAATGTTTCCAGACAGTGAAAGAGATTTCTTGCACGATACCAGCAGAATTACCGTGCTTTGGTCTTCGGGCCACGACCGCACCTCCTAGACTTTGTTCTGATCGTTCGAGCATAGAACATCGTTGGAGATTCAGCTGAGGATTTTGTCCTCTGCGTCCAACTCGGGCGCAGCAATTGCACCGAGCCTTCATCCAGGCTGGCCCAATGTTGGCAGTACTCCGTCCCTCCGTGCCTCTCGTTTCTGGTTGATCGACTCCGAACATCGACCTGCAAGGCATTCCCAGCATCGATGCTCGTGTGGACAAGCTGGAGCAGCTGTTGGCGTTCCGAGGTGCTCCCCGATTTCCAGCATGCTTGAAACCAGCTTGTCTTCGCTTTGGCGGGGCTACAGTGGGCATGTTGACCAACACGGTGGTGTCATGCACTGCCGGGAAAGAGGAGCTGCCATGCGAGGCCAGTGCTCCGGCACCGAGAGAGAGACGAAGCCGCCTGTCAGGAGCTCAGAAAGTCTGACGACACCGTGTGTCTTGTTCTGAACTCGCTGTGGAACAGCTCTCTGCAGCTGTTGCAGTTGAGTTGAACAGTCGCTCGCTTGGATTCCAGCATGTTGCACAGCTTCTGTTTCTCTATGACAGTCGGCCAGGTTCGAGTCCCGGAAGATGTACCACTCCGCTCATTGTGGAAAGAAGCAGAAGCTGCTCAAAGTTCCAGGAGAGCGAGGTCGGAATTGCCTGCAGCTGCAACTGGTGCTGCGGCCCCAAAAGCCTCGGCAGCAAGCACAAGCAAGCGGCTTGATTTCAATGACGACGAGCCAGCGCGGCGTGCGCTGGCAGAGGAGATCGCCCAGACTGTGAAGGGGCGCATCGAGGCGCTGTGTCGAGACGTGCCAAAGCTGGTGGGTGAGGCCAAAGTGAGCAAGAGAGCCAATGCCAAAAGCGAGCTCGTCCGGCCACAGCCTCAACAGCCTCAACAGCCTCAACAGCCTCAACAGCCTCAACAGCCTCAACAGCCTCAACAGCCTCAACAGCCTCAACAGTCACAAGCCTCATGCATGAAACAGCTGGAACAGCAACAGGGTCGCTTGGACTCTCTCTTGGAGGACATCCAAAGCCAAAGCCTTTCTGAGCCACAAGTGCTCCGGACGCCACCCTCGAAGCAGCCGGACCGTTTTCAGAAGCAGGAGGGCCAAAGCAGCCCTGCAGAGGCCGACGGGGAGGGCATGGACACCATCTGCGAGGATCATGCTGCCATGGTAAAAATCCCGTGAGCCCTCCATGTGAAACTGGATTCTTCTGCAGGCGCAAGACACTCCGAGCTCCTTGCTGAGGCCAAGCCGGCATCGCACACACCGCAGTAGAGACGAGGTCAGAAGCCTCTGACCTGGGCACCGCAGGGGAGAGCAGATCAGACTTGCAAAGAAGTGATGTCGCAGGCGAGCGCGCAGCCGCCTCTCCGTACTGCGCCAGGGTCTCGCCTGAGACCCTTTCATTATGTCGGGGCAGTGGGAATGGGTCAGTGTCACCCACCTTGGCAACGGGGTTTTGCCGGCTGTAAAAATATTTGATGCAGCCATGTGATTGTTGATGTGTATGTACTGATTACAGTCGCTGTGTTTTGGTTGTATACGGAAAGAATTAAGCTGCACCGACGGGGACGGCTGCAGACAAAGAATATGCGCCATGCTCAAGAGAGCATACACAACATGGAGCTGCATCCGTTTTTCGCCGGAAGTTATGCAAGGTCTGAAACCTGAGATTGGGCTCCAGCATAGCAGAACGATGTAGAATCTTTCCAAGCTATCCCATGCCAAGTATCAACGACCTGAGTTAGTCTGGCAGGCTCGGGCACTTGAACAGGGATTTGTTGTCTGTGGTGTGCCATGACGGCAGAGTTGCCAGCCATGTCAGCTGTGGATCTTGCTCGGAGACGACCCTTCTCCGGCTCCGCTGCGATTGTGCGACGTGAGTGGGATGGATGTGTGTTGCAGGCAACCTGGGTCGATTCGTCGCTGTAGGCAACAGGCGGCTTCCGAGAAGTGGGTGTCTCGGGTCGGGAATGAATTTCACGTGGGGCGTGTTTCTTGCGGAGCTTTTGCGACTGCAAGACTGAAGCCTGCTGCAGCATCTTGAAGCTTGTTGTCTTTCATTGTCACTACATGATTTCGCAGGAAGGACAGTGGATGGCTGCAGCTGAAGCGTGCCTTGCCCAATTTTGTGTCTATCTCCAGCATGGTGCGAAATGGTCGCTTCAGCAAGTCAGAGCGAGTCTGGGTCTGTGTGTGATGCAAGGCCAATGGGACCTGCTACGTCCCCACAAGGACACATTGAATGGCTTGGGCCTGCGAAGCCTTTCGTCGACATTTCGTGCTCGGACTCACGCTGATTGGTACTTTTATGGGTCGAGGGATATTGCAGCGAGCATTACGTCTGCATTAGCAACACAAGCCATTATGACGGCGGCCGTGACAATGGTGATGCTGGTGGTTCCGCAGTGGTTTCGGTATTGGGAGAGGAAGCAGGAGCAGCGTGGTGTGATTTCCGTGAGAACATGATGCATGTAGAAGCTGCAGAGCTGTAGAACCCTAAGCCCCCTAAATCTCGACTCTGAGCCAGTGAGCCGAGGTCAGTGGCAGCAGGCCTGGGAGTATGTGAGATCGCTGTGGCTTGGCGAAGAACGGGATTTAGGGGTTTAGGGGTTTGGTGTTGCTGTCAGAAAGCCAGGTCTTGGCTTGTGGGAACTCTCCTCACCCCTTAAGAAATTCGTGTGGGACTGATGCGAATTTTACGGAGCCCCACAACCTGCAACCCCAATTCCTAGGCCTCGCACGTCTCACAATGACGGGATCATTTTTCAGGATTTGCATGGCAAGGATTCTGTAACTTGTTTGTGTTAGGGTCCTTAATTCGTAGAAACTCCCACGTGATGTCAGAGTCGGATCCCAGCTTGGAGCCTAGCCATTCCTGATTAGAATTTAGCGTGCAATGCTTAGCAGCTTAGCGTGTTAAGGTGCCGTCGGAAGCCGTTCCGCTACTGCATGGTAGATATGAGTGACATTTTGTCCGGTGGTGGGGTGATGATACTGTAGTGGCACCTTTTGTGGACATCGGGCTTGAAGTAGGCTGGCCTGAAACCGCCCTCTGCGCATAGGGATGCATAGACATGGACCTTTCCGCAGCGGGTGAGGGCGTGACCGCTAAACTACATCCGCTTCGGAGGCGAAGAGGTTCAAGGCGTCTACTCACGAAAGCCGCTGTGCCTTGACCGTTGAAGGTCGGGAAGTGAACCTTGACTAGGCACAAACCCTAGTTGGACACAAGTGTTTTGTACATGGAGTGAAATCAGGATCTTTTTCATACAGAAGGCAAGCCATGGACTCACAGCACACCACACGGGGCAATAGGACGCACTGTTCTAGGAGTTTACATGGTAGAATACATGTGACTGCTGTTCGAAACTTGGGCCCCGTTGTCAACCAAACAACCCGCCTTTCGCACGGTTTCCTTTGCAGGACGAGTCGCAGTGTGGAGGTCGATGTGGTGGTCTTCAATGCTTTCATGCGTGCCTGCCAGCGAGGCCGGCAGGGACGATGTTCGAAAGCAGCAAAGCAGGCAGAAGATCACGGGACAGGTAGTAGCAAGCAACGGCGCATAGCTGCATGCATGTGACAGTATGTATGAAGGTATGTATGTATGCATGAAAGTGCAGCAAGGGTAAGCATGCATGCTGCGTCTGTGCTTTCTGAATGTATATTGCATATGCATACACATATGACCCTCCAGGCATATATTGCTGGATCGTTTCATATGATGTCAGAACATGGAGTGCAGCACAAGCATCTTCAAGTTCAATTGGAACATACTCGGTTGTCATATCATGTATAGTCAAGCCTGCTCTACATCTCAATATATTTAGGAGCACATGTACGTAGACACGTACACTGCGCCATATTCACATACACATAGATGTACATCTACACAGACACAGACATGTTTGCATTGTTTAAAGCTCGATACTTATTTCCAGCCATCTAATGTGTACTGACTTTCGGTATCTAATCTCAGTTATTGTTTAGTGCATAACATACAGTAGGCCCATTCCAACATCGGATGTCTTTATATCGCAGGCCTCGAACGGAGCATGCAGTATGGTAGATGTTCTGTTGCCCTACTATCGCTCATTCTTGACTGTAGAACAACAGGCTAGAGAGTCAGAGCAGGTTGTGCAGCCAGAGGGTCAACAGTGGCATGACATATGACACCAGACCAAAATCTCAACTTGGGGTACAGCGGAGATGAACGCCAAGAGCCGACATGGCTTGGTCTTGCAACCGGCTGCTCATCTAAGATCCTATTATCATCATCATCATCATCTTTATCGTCATCGTCATTGTCATTGCCATTACCATCATCATCACCATCATCTTTATCTTCATCGTCATTGTCATTGTCATCATCATCATCATCGTCATCCGCGTTTCGAAGTCGTCGTGAAGGATTCCGCACACCTTGATGTGTAATGCTCGACCTGTTGTGAGCTGAAGGCAGAAGCAAACGTTTCTTGATTGCCCATAGTTTGTGTAGACAGCCTACACCGAAGCAGGACCGGCAACTTCAAGGTATTATGTTAAGCTTGCCGTCGGCGGCTTAAGATGGAGTGTTCACATAGCAGCGCCTTTACCGTCATGCTCTTTGAAACTTGCCATGCAGGCGGCGAGTGGCAGCAGGCAGGGAGCATCCATGACACGGGGCAGGGCTGCAGATTGGGTGTTTACTTCGACCTACACTTCTTCAGGGGGCCATTTTGACGTTGTGCGCCGGGCTCTCTCGGTCCTCTTTTGCAGTCGTTCTGCTGTGCTCGCATTATGACCTGCCCGATAGTGCTAGGCTGATCTGCTTGTTGATTCGCTTCTAAGCCATGCACGCAGATTGGGTGGAAGCCAGTGTATGACAAAAGTCGTGTCCAAAGGGAAGTTTGAAAAGCCTGAAACCATTCCGTAGACCCAAGCCGAAGCCGTAACCTCCTCTAGAACCCCATAAAGATCTTTGTGAAACCCGTGCAATACCACCGCCATGCACCCTCACCCTGAACCCCAAACCCTGAAACCTGGTGCTAAACGAGAACCTGAAAGATTTAAAGCCCAAGTCCTAAGCCCTTTCATAACGGAGGCTTGGGCTGGCCTGGATCTCCTGCAACAAAGCTTCCTGGAGGCTTCCCTGGTCTCCTGGAACTCGGCGAGCCCTGGCATTTAGAAGATCAAGGTAGGGTTTAGGGTTTAGGGGCGGTAAATGTGGCATGATAGAGACTTCTAGGATTCTGCTCTCTTCAGCTTTGCTATCATTCTGCCAGCTACTGTTGCTATAATCCTTTATGAGTAATCAGATATTTCCGTGGAGTTCTGATTGCTGTTTGGACGAACCTGAAAAATCTTGGGCAAGGTATCTGCAGTTTGCGGAGCTTCAACACACGGCACGTCCTGATCTAAACTATGGAAGAGGGACACTGATACATCCACCACAGGGTCGTATGTTGAATTTTTCAGGCGTCAGACGCCAGGGAACCACGAAGCTTCGCTGGTCATGGTTTCTTCTCAGGATGAGCGCCTACGAAAAGGCCGAGAAGTGGGAAGATGCCGTGGCGCAGGCTTGGATCAGAGTGCTGAGAAGAAGAGCAAGAGCCCTTCAACCTCGAAGTGTGGGCCAGCAGAAGATAAGAGAAGATAAATGTAGGTCCCAATGAGCATTTGCACAAGACAACGAATTCTGCAAGTTCTTTTGGGCAGGTGGAGAGAATGCGTGCCTTGCATGTGGAGCCGGACGTGATCACTCTCAACACTGCGATAAGTTCCTGCGAGAAGGGGGCATGCTGGGAAGCAGGCTGGGAGGAGCATCAAAGCCCAGCTAGCTAGCTCAAGACGTTCACTGAGATTTTGCCTCCCTCATGCTTTGTTCCTTTGCTAGGGCTTGCTCTTCTTGGCTCCATGGCAGAGGCGGACGTCTTCCCGGAGCCTTGCTTCTTTGGAGAAGCCGTGTGTCTCTTTATTGGTACTCAGCAAGATTCTTCTGGGGTTCTGTAATGCCCAAACCGAGGACGTCATCTCCTTCAACGCAGCCATCAGCGCCTGCGAAAAGTGCGGCGAGTGGCAAGAAGGCCCTCGGGGAGTGTCGATGTGCCCCGAATAGGCTGGTGATGTCGTTTCAAATGACGATGCTGATAGGGGCAGGGAAAGATGTGTCTCTGTTCCTGTCGCGTGATTGCTTTGTCTGTTTG